CCCCCCCCCCCCCCCCATTTACATCCGGATCACTGGGACTTGTTACATGTGTTAGTTTCCATTGCATTACATTGTGTATTGGTTGTCTTTCTGTCACTGTGACATCAACTTAATAGAAAAGATTCATTTTGGCTTGTGTTTTCAGTCCATAGCTGGTTGGCTCTGTTGCTTTTGACTGACTGAATCTCATTGTGGCTATGGAGCAGAGAGAGTCGGGAAGGGGCCAGTGCCCTTTTAAAGGCATGCCCCTAGTTGGACCCCATCTCTTAAAGCTTTCACCACTTTTCAGTAGTGCTAAGGATTGAGCCTACGACATGTGAGGGTTTGGGAGATATTTTCTATTTAAACAATCCCACTTTGGTAAAAAGGGACTTTGTAGTCTTTGAAATTTAAGATTCACTTTTTTTTTTTTTTAAAGAATTTTCTTTTTTTCTGTGTGTGTGGCACACAAATGCTTACACCTTTTGTTGTGCACCTAGGGAGATCAGAGAACAATTTGGAGGGGGTTCATTCTTTCCCACCATGTCGGTTTCAGGTGTCCTACTCAAGTGGCATGGCTTGGCAGTTAGTGCTTTTATCACCTGAGTCCTCTCACTAGCCCCTGGAATCTGATTTAAAATGTTAAAAAGTTAAAGATCTTAGTGTAGAATGATTGAGACATCAGTTGAAATTATATAGGGTGAGACTATCTGAGATAGTGAACAATCATTTGGGAAAGGCTAAATGATTCCCAAAGATTTCACATTTCTGAAAGATGTTCTAGTTCTGACCAGCAAAAGTAGAGCTTCTTGGCAGTGATCTTGTCAAGATCACATTTCAAGGTTAAATTAACTTTTGAATAAGCGTGCTGTAGATCTTTCCTGTAAAGATCAAGATACTAGAAAATGACATTGATAAAAATCTAAATGCAGTGGGCCTGGAGAGATAGTTCAGCAGTTAAGAACACTGACTGTTCTTGCAGAAGACCCAGGTCTGAATCCCAGCACCCACATGGCAGCTAACAACTGTCTGTAACTCCAGTTCCAGGGGATCTGACCAGCCTCTTCTGTTCTCTGTGGGCATTGCACGACATGGGCGCATTTACCTACATGCAGGCAATACACACATACATATAAAATAAAAATAATAAATTAAAAAAAATCTAAATGTAGCACATTAAAGCTGTGTAAATGCATAAAAGGAGGTATTCAAAATCCATAAAAGGTACATCTAATGGCATGTAGGATGTCTTAAATTTTTGTTCATAAAAAGAAAAGCTTTCTAGCCAGGTGTGGTGGCTGCATATGTTTAATCCCAGCACTCAGGAAGCAGAGGTAGGTGGATCTCTGTGATTTCCAGGCCACTTGAGGCTACAGGGGACTCTCTTTAAATAAAAAGAAAACCCCCCCCCCCCCCCGCAAAAAGAACAAAAAACAAAAGAGCTTTTAAGTTTGGAGTGATGGATGGCTCAGCAGTTAAGAATGCTTGATGCCCAGTCCTGAGGATAGAGCTCCAATTCCAACACACCTGTCGAGTGGCTTAGGAATACCTGAAACTGTTAGGTCTAAGGAACCCAGCACCGTCTTCTGAGCTCTCTGGGCCCCTGCATACACATGGGAGCATACACTCACATAAACATATACACATAGACACATGTGTGTGCTTACACACAAAAGAAGTAGCTTTCAAGAGGTTAAGGAATCCTGGTTTACCCATTTCCCTTTTAGCATTTCTCTGCAAAACATTATTTCTTTAAGGATAGGGCAGTTAATACAGTTTTCAGATTTGTCTGTTGTTTAGGGAAAAAAGTCCACTGAGTCATTCCAAAACAAAGGTATGAGAAGGTTCACAGGTAGAAAATAGTTTCAAAACTTTATTGTACTTTAGAATCAGCTGGGGAATTGTGAAGCTTCTCTTCCCACCTAAGTCTGGAGTGGGACATTGACACCTACAGCTGTTGCAGCTTAAGGATGCAAGAATTTGACTCTGGAAATGTGGATGCTGGGGTCTCAGTGAGTTGTAAATATAATGGTTTCATGTCAGTCGCCATATATTTTAAGTAGGTCACTGTTAGCTTGTTGTCATTAGTGCTTGAGAAGTACCTGTCTGATTTCAGCCTTCTGTTTCATTTGTCTCCACAGTATGTAGTACTACTCTTTGGGTTGGCCAAGTGGACAAGAAAGCAACACAGCAAGATTTAACCAACCTTTTTGAGGAATTTGGACAAATTGAATCCATTAATGTAGGTACCTCTTTATAAGCAGTAAGACAAGGTTTTAAAATAGGCAGTTTTTGCTCACTTCAGACCCTAATGAAGCCCGTTAGTCTCTGGCTTTTATAATGTACATCTTGACAAGATTACATTGTTGACTTTTCTGTATTTGCTTTGAAACTGTTTATTTTCTTAATTTTCCTTTTAAACAGAGCATCTTACAAAATATTCATAGGGGTGTTATATCGTATTATAATTCTCAATTCCTATAAACAGTAAATGTTTGAGATAGCAAGAACTCTTCTCCCTCCCTCCTCCCTCTCTCTTTTATCAGCTAGTTTGTAAATGGAGCTGCTTTTTTTTTTTTTTCAAGTAGTTCTGTATTTTGTATTTAAGATAAGGAGAGATGATTTTCAGGATTTCATGTATATCATGGCTTAGAATGGAAGCCAGGTTTTGGGTTTATTAAAACTGAGTATTTGCTTATATGAATTGTACCAATAAAGAGACAGTGGAGGAAGAAAGGGGAGATCAGTTTGGCTGCCCACCAAATTTGAATTGTAGTTGAAATAAGTAGTCAGAGTGTTCTGTTTCACTAGAACCAAATGTCGGAATGAATTTCCTTTTTTATACTCTTTGTAAAGAAAGAATTCTTTTTCCATAGATGATTCCTCCCAGGGGCTGTGCATATGTCTGTATGGTTCATCGGCAAGATGCCTATCGGGCTCTTCAGAAACTCAGTTCAGGATCCTATAAAATTGGTTCCAAGGTTATTAAGGTGAGTTTTTGTGGATGAGTTTGCGGTAAAGGTCAACTAACGTTTTAGCATGTATTATGTTACATTCTTAAGTTTTTTGTAGGAAAGGGCCACACACTCGTACTTCATTGGATTATTAAAACCCCTAGTTCCTTTTATTTTCTTCTTTTTCCCCTTTTGGTGCTGGGAAGCACACCCTGGGCCTGGACCTTGGTAAGCACATAGTCTTCCCCTGAGCTGTATCTTTGCCGTCTTCATCAGTGTTTTCAGCAGCCTCCTCAGAAGCTTTTTTCAGGATTTTTGACTTTCAGATAAGATACGGGTAAACTAATGATATGGCCAAAACTTTGTTTATTTTTCCTTAAAAATCACATTTGTAGGCATGTGTGTTGGCCTGCACTATGAATCCCAGCAAACGGGAGGCATATGCAGGTGGATTTCTGTGAGTTTCAGGCCAGCTATGGCTACAAGGAAACCCTGTCTCAAAAAACAAAATCCCCCCCCCAAAAAAAAAAACTTGTACGAGTCTCTTAACACGTCCTTCTTCATGACATTGTTTCTTTATTCTCATTTCCTGTAAATCACCCTTGTAAAAAGATCATCTTCAAGAATTTTTTTTCTCTTAGTCTTTAAATTGAGAATTTATTATTTTTCATTACTACTTGTGACTGCCTCGAAATTTCATTTTGGTTATTTAGAGAGAATTTACTCATTTAGCTTCTGCATCTAAATTAAAAATCTCAGCTATTTCCAGGAGTGTTGTGTACACTTTTTTTAAAAAATCATTTCATGGCATTGGGTGTCTATAAATTCCGTTATTGCGTCTCGTGTCCTATTGTAATTGGTTTTGTTTAAATTATAGTAACTAGATTTGTGTTGTCTCCAGAATTGCTCATTTTAGAGTGGAAATAAGAAGTGGGAGTGAATCCCATGTTGTAAACATGTTCTCTAATGCAGTTTTAAAGCAAGCACGCAAGAAAAAACTAATTTTATTTGTATTTGCTTAAATATGATTTTGAACTTTCTGCATTTTTATTACAGTATACCTGTGAGCTTCTTTCTTTTCCTCTCCCCATTTCCAAATAGATTGCTTGGGCATTAAATAAAGGTGTAAAAACAGAATACAAACAGTTCTGGGATGTTGATCTTGGCGTCACTTACATCCCATGGGAAAAAGTTAAAGTGGATGACTTGGATGGTTTTGCAGAAGGAGGCATGATTGATCAGGAAACTGTAAATACTGGTAAGAACCTTAATGCCATTTTATTATTTAAAAAGTGTACTTCAGAAGGTTGTAATAGAAATTTGTTTGGGGTGGCAGAGTGAACTATGCTTATTTCCTGGATTCAGCAACAAAAGGAGGAAATAAATGGGGCTGTGTGTGCTGGGGCCCTTAGTAGATTATGTTCCATCGGTATCAGTGTATAGTTTAGAAAAGTATCAATTAGAAGTCTGTAAATGTTCCTTTTTTTTCTTTTATGATCTTTAACATTTTTTGTTTTATCATTTTTAAAAATATTTTTATTATTTTTATGTGTATGAATGTATTGCCTGCATGTGTTGTGTAGAGCCTGCAGAGGTCAGAAGGAGGTGTCTGAGCCCCTGGAACTGGAGTTATGGATGGTTGTCAACTGCTATGTGGGTGCTGGGAATTGAACCCTGGTCCTCTGTAAGAGCAGCTAGTGCTCTTAACTGCTAAGCCATCTCTCCAGCCCCCCTATTTTTGTCTGTTTTAAAACAGGGTTTCCTTGTAGTCCTAGCTGGCCTGCCTCTCACAGAGTTCTGCCTGCCTTTGCCTCCCAAGTGCTGGGATTATAGGCATGTGCCATCACACCTGGCTCCTTATGTGTAAGGGAAAGCTTGTATACCATGGAAGCTTCGTTGAACTAAATATTTTTTTCATTTTATGAGTGTAAATGAAAACTAAAGATTTGAGAAGCTTCTTGGAGGAACCCTCCAGATTGTTTTAGAGTTCATTTGAGAGTAGCAGGAATAGTATTCATACAGATTCCCGTACAGTTTCATGTGCTCAAGTGCCTTCTACAATACCTGTATCCAAATGACGGTTCTTTAAAATACTAGTATTTATTTTATTTTTTAAACTTGGGCTTACAATTTCACAAGATTATTAACCATTATACCCAGAGGAGATGCTGGTATTTGGAAAAGACTCAAAATATGATATGTTCTTTGTTTCTTCACATCTTGGGTTTCTTATCAAAATCAGCCTGTTTTCAGAATATGTTGGATCTCATGCCAATGACAATATTTTCAAACATTTTAAGTTCTTCTCTTCTGGCTGGGGATAGACCTCAGGTGAGAGAACATGCCCTTAGTATGTGTAAGACTCTTGATTTGATCCCTAGCACTACCCAAATAAGCAAAATCAGTTCATTTCTTTTTGTGTTCTGTGTGCCCTCTTCCCTCTGTTATGACTGTTTTCAAAGACATTGGGTCTTCAGTTATTTTAGTTCCTGCTGTGTGCCAGGTCAGACTTTAGGAACTGAAACTGTGCCAAGGAGACAAAAAGCAAAAATTATTCCTGTTATGTTTGGCACAGCATCCAGAGCCTACAGTCTGTGGGCTAGATCTTATTCTGCAAAAATTACTTTATTGAAACACAGCTATACTTACTGTGTACCTGTTTTTGCATGACCCTTTTTTTCCCCCTTTTTCTTTTTCTTTTTCTTTGCTTTGGCAAGAGTATAGTCACAGGAGGGAGACCATATGGCTCACAGAGTCTGTGCAACTTAATCTAGAAAGACCCTTGTAGTCAAAAGAACTAGATAATAAAAGCTATAAACTATACAAGATTTCTGTGTTGCTAGTTACATGTAGAATGCGTAGAGACTGGGCCTGATAGCACTTCACTCCCACTACTTTGGAGGCAGAGGCAGGCACAGCTCTGTGAATTTGAAGCCAGCCTGGTCTACATAGCAAGTTCTAGGCCACCCAGGGCTTCATAGTGAGACCCTGTCTCAAACATAAAGCACAGGGAAGGGAGCTGAGCTGTGTGGGTGTGGACTATTGTAGTGTGTAAGTCTATGCACATCTGTTGGAGAGAGTAGTATTTGGAGTGAGGCATGCATCTGTTTTGGAAACAGCATTCCTGACAACTGGAGCAGGAAGTGCAAAGTCCATTCAAATACATGACAAGTGGCAGAATTTGAGCAACATGGAAACAGGTAGGAGATGAAGGCCAAGGCACTGAGAGGCAAAAGCTTGCTGGTTTTTTACTCTGAACAAGTTGACCACGATTAGAGCTGGTTCCCTCCCCCCCCCCCCCCCCCCCCCCCCCCCCGCCCAACTACAATATCATGTTGTCCTGGTTAGCCTCCAGCCTGTTCCTTCTGCCTCTGCCTCCTAAGTGCTAAGACTACAGAATGTGCAGCCACACCCACCTCACTCCATTTTTATATCCCCGTCTTTTCAGGAAGATTTTTCAGTATTGAGCTAATACTTTGTTAATGGTACTTTATAAAATATAACATAAGGTTGTTTTCTCATACCAGGCCGCCTTTAAGGTGTGTCTCCATTACCTCTCAGTGTAGTCACTTATATCTCACATGTCTTTTTGGTTTTGCCAAGGTAGATTGTATGTACGTTAATGGAGTTACATGTAATATAAATGGAAAAAATGACAAGATCCACTTAAAGAAAATCCATTTCATATATTTTGTTTAGAATGGGAAACTGTGAAAAGCTCAGAACCTGCTAAAGAGACAGTCCAGACAACACAGAGTCCAACTCCAGTTGAAAAGGAGACAGTGGTCACAACACAGGCGGAGGTTTTCCCTCCACCTGTTGCCATGTTGCAGGTTAGTACTAGATGGTTTCTTTGTAAATATTGTGTTGTAGATTTCCAATTTTATTCATGTTTGAAAGTTAGAGAATATTGTCCAAATTAGGACAGACTTGTTGTTAGTGTTAGTCAAAGAAGTTTTCTTTTAAATTAAAAAAAAATTCTGCTAGTGCTGTAGTATTGTTATATTAAACACATGAAGTTTAAAATGGGTAAATAATGGAGCTATAACTTCCTTAGTATTGCAATATTTTCTTTAGATTTATGTCTTTCTGTATAATCAAATTACAGTCAATAACTTTTCAAATAATTAGTTATTTCTTGGAGCAGTAAGTTATTTCAGTGAATTTAGTGAAGCATTTTGAAAAATCATTATTTTTGGGAGTGGGATTATTCATATTTAAATACGTGTTTGAGTGCCCGTGCTGAGGGGTGCACTGTTCTAGGAGCCCTGGGGTTAGGGATCCATCAGTGATAAACATTTAGGAAATTTGTTACGGGAGAAAGACAAGCTAGGAGAATGAGGACCCTCTGTGTCATACAGGGTAGTACATGACTGCTCAGTGATGTCTGTAGAGGGGCTGACGGGTTTTAGACTATGGTCAGTGGACCAGTTGAGAATGGGGCACTTGAAAACAGTTTAAAGAAATTAGCCATTTGGATATATGAAGAAGAGCATTACAGGCAGAGGAAAAGCCAAGCTGAAGGTCTGTGCCAGGAGCATATGATGTGTTCCAGGGATAATGGGACAGTACATGGCTGGAGGAAAGCCAGTGATGTGCACTCTCTAAGGACTTTAGTTTTCATGCTGAATGAAATGAGCCATTGGAGGATTTTGATCAGAGGAATAATTTGATCTGCTCTGACAGTTTTAAAGGATTGCACTAGACGCTTTTCATTGAGAATAGGCTATAGCATTTGTAAAAGCAGAGAAAATTGCTAGCAGTGAAAGTGGTAGATACTGAGATTTTTTTAAGGTACAACTATTAAGACTTTGTATATCTCTTGAATTTTAGAATTGTGAAAAAAGCAGACAAGGTGTTTGGTCCAATAAATTATAAATATGGAGCTACCATTTTGTGCGAATAGGAAATAATGTGGGGAGAGGTCTCTGGGGAATGACAGTTCACTTCCTTCTGTGCGTGTAAAATTTAAAGTGCCTTTTAGACAGTAAAGCTGAGTATGTTTGGTCATTAATGCAAGTTGATGTTCAAGAAAGAGATGGTGCTATTGGAGATGATATGTTTGTACTTTTGGGGCCTTTAATGAATAGAAGATACTTGTGTTGCGATTGGAATATAAGTTTTTGAGAACTTGGAGCCATTAGAAAGCTGCTAGTTCTATTTTCTGATAGTGATAGTGAACTAACAGATAGGTATTCATTAGTCAGTTTACTGTGAAGTGGCAGTTGAAATTTGAGCCTGATACGCGGTGTTCGGCTACATTCTCATTACGTCATTTCAATGTGAGAAACACTTCATGATCTCCAGGTAAACGGTCTTTTGAAAAATATTGCTGCTTTTACCCTAAGTAGGTTCACTTCAATCTATACAGAAGGAGACAATCTTAAAGCAATGACACTTGCTCCTCTCCTCTAAAGAGGTGTAATTTCCTTTACTATGGTAAATATCCACAGGGATAACCTGATTAATAGATTTTTCTCCTATCCACAAGATTCCAGTAGCACCAGCAGTTCCCACGGTTAGCTTGGTTCCACCAGCGTTTCCTGTGTCAATGCCAGTTCCCCCTCCTGGATTCAGTCCAATCCCTCCACCTCCTTTTCTACGAGCAAGTTTTAATCCTTCACAGCCACCACCCGGTAAGGAATTGATCTTCTTATTTGAACTTTATTTAGATTAGCATTAACGTTACTCTTTTTTGAGGTCTAAATGTCTCAGACTTTAGCACATGACAGAATTACCTCCTAGAGTGCTCCTTAGAGAACAGATTGTTGGGTCCATTCTCCATTCTGATTTGCTCTCTGAATGCAGATGGCTGGAGGAAGCACGGACAGAAGAATTTGATTCACTGAAATCACTGAAAATCCTAAGATGGAATGTAAAATTCATGTTGATGTTCTTATATGAAAGTTCTCTACAGTTACCACTCTTTCATCAGAGTTTGTGTTGAGCTCTACACTGTCCTTTGTAGAGATCATTAGGTTCCATTTTGATGTTAGAAATTACATTTTAAAGCATTAGTAAGGGAAAGTTTTCTCTTTAACCTAAGAAATTATTTGTAAGAGTTCCTGGAGTC